TCGTGGAAATCCCAGAAGGATAGCTCACCAGAGGGCAAGGACCCGGGTGCGCTCCCACTTCTTTTCACTGCGGGTTTGCCGTCCCTGGAATTCCTTACCGGCAGATGTAGCTATGGCACCGTCTTTGGACGCCTTTAAGCGAAGGCTGGACAACCATGCAGCGACACAGGGACTGCATCCAAATGGCCTATCTCCTTAAAATCGCATTTACCAATCAGGGTAGATAATTAAACTCGTCATTTTACTTCTTTACATTCTCTCCCGTCTTACTCTCCTGACAACTTATTAATATTATAATTACTATTATCGATATGTATATTATTCTTCAAACTTAATGAGCTGACTGTTGTTACGTTTCCTATTTTCGTTTCTGTCTCTTAGTCTGAATAACTTCACTAATTATATCTATTATTATTACTATCTCTTTTCTCTTGTCGACGATCATGATAGTGCAGATTTGTCTTTGATTGATCATGATGAGATGAGAGATATGCCTACTACTGCTAAGTTGGACAAAGGTTCTGTACAACTACAACGTGAAGTAGAATTAAATGCAGATGCAGTTGCAGAAGGTATGGATACTTATGAGACCGTCAGTGTAATCGATCAGCGTGTAGCCCACCTATCATCAGATGCTAGTGCTAAACAGGAGCTAATAGTAAAAGACAGCAGTGGTGGTAATCTTGCAGTTAGACAACTATCTGAAAGCCGAGCAACAACAGCTTCTGATCCACCGCTAAGTTGATCAACTGGTATCAATCAGTCGTCGTTGGTGTTGTCACCCACAATGAAACAGGCGCCCATCAACTCAAGTATCTTGTGCAATGACTTTGATAGTATTGGTGCATTTGGAAAGACGAAAGATATTGCCTAGTTTAGTGAGGATAAGCCAAGTGTAAACGAGAGAGTAATTGTTAAATTGACTTGCACGAATAAAGGCATTTCTAGTTTCAGGTTACTATTTGAATGTTATTATCTTTGGTGTGAATTACTCTGTTTCTACACTTGGTTGACCAGACACGTCGTGTGTTTGTTAGTCATCTATATTCTACGATACAATGACATGAGCGTGTTACCGTTCAGATTTGAGGATATAGCTGATAGAAGGAAGTCAGCAAATGAACTCTGCGATGATTTTCCAACCTAGGGCGTCAACATGAGAAGGGTTGTAGGCGTACTCCTGTAAGTCCTACAATTCTTCAAAGGGTAGCGCATCAGTGAGCAGTCCAATGTGCTTGGTGTGTGATTTTGTACATATGTTCATATTGTATATACTGAATTGATATCATGTCATCTAGTTGTTGGTAATTCTGTTTGTGTCCGTACGACTTTCACTTGTATCATCAACCTGAGAAGTAATGTAGGCGTACTGCTGTAAGTCCTACATTTCTTCAAGGGTAGTTCGTCAAGGCAGAATCCACAACATTTGATGTATTGATTGTACATATGTTTGTGTTAAATACTTGTGTGGGTTCCAATTATTGTAATTGTTGGTCAATCTTGCTTATGTCCGGACATTCCACAACTTACAATCGTCAACCTGTGAAGGGTTGTAGGCGTACTGGTGTAAGTCCTACAATTCTTCAAAGGAATTCCACCAAGACATGATCCGTGAGGTTATTTGTACTGTTTGTGTATACGAGTGGTGTGTCTTCTCAATTTGTGATTTTGGATTAATTGTGTTTACTCGTTGTTTTCATACCTTGTTGTTATTGCATAATTTTGTTGAAATTTTCGTCGTGATTACTTCTGAAGTTGTTTCGAGTCCCCTACATCCGTGAGTGAATTGATTGATGTTAGAAACAGCAGATAGGTCGTATACGCCGGTTTTTCTATTGCTGAGGATGAAATGCATACGGAGATAATTGTTAGGTGCGGTCCCACACGCCGGGGAGAAAGAGTGTAAACGACTGAGGCTCGCATACGTCACCGTTACTAGAACTGAGGCAGAATGAGTGACAAGCGATTGCAGTGGTAATTGGTAGTGAGTAGATAAGAGGATGTGCGTAGAGTATCGTGAGGTTCTGCTATGGTCACGTTGCATTCTGCAAGAGTCATTCTAGCAAGTGGAGGCAGTGTTGCAGGATGTCGAGAGGACACCTTTAACTGGAAGGCGGAGGTCGTCATCGATGTGTGGGATTGTGCTGTGGGTATGCTTGTGGTTTGTTGGCTTTTCTGTTTGTTTTCTATTTCAGCTCTGTCCGTGTGACTACCCTAATTCCTGCTTTATTAAGAATCCTACGTAGGGTCTCAGATGTCCCCTCCTTATGTGGGATAACAGTGAATAACTTATATTCTCTCTTATTTTTGTTATCATTACTAGTTACACGGTTATTTTTATTTTATTTTTGGCCTTTACTGATCTTCCTGATGAATTTTACACATTACATGAATTTTTACGTTATGTCATACTGATTTTTAATCCAATATCTAATCGATTCCACACATGTATTTTCACTGTAGTTGAAGATTGAACGATCAATTCATGGTTGTTTGCTCAAAACCAACTTCCCCAATTTTCGCGGAGGCATCAATCTACCAGTCATCGTCTCATCGGTCGCTGTTCAGAATGAAGATAGAAAAAAGTGTCAGAAGTAATATCATGATTTTTTTTTAGACCTTTTTCGTCAATGCTGGTTATATGATGGTGTTGTAATAAAGAATTCTCGAGGCGCCGATCTTTGTTCTGGTTTTTGCCTCCGTTGATACTTAGCGTTTCTTAAAATCTTGGAGGGCATCGGGAGGCCTATCGTAGTAAGAGCATGGCATTAACGGTTTATGGGACGTGATTTACAATCCATTCTAATCACTCTTCTACATTTCTCTCTGTATTCAGCGCGGTGTGCATTGGACTCAGCTTGTCCACCTAATTCCCTTTTTGCACTGAGTCATCTTCTCTTTGAGCATCCTCCTCCCCTCTCTTTTTTTGGCCTTTAGATAGGTCTTCGTTGAGAGCCATTCCTTAATGTGTCTCTTCGTTCTACCTAGAAGAGTTGTACAGGTTTCTTTAAATATCGCTTTCAGAGTTCCAATGCCTTTTGACGCGTGACTCCTCTGTGATGCTGCATACCAATTGTTTTGTAGTGGACTGTCTGGCGTGATCAACAGCATACAGGCGTGTTAATAAAAAATCCAAGTTTATGAGATGATATTGTAACTGTAAATTATAAAAATACACTCATGAGTTATATTAATTCTTTTGAAGTCCACTGCCACAAATATTAATATAATCCACAGAAGCGTTCACTGTTGGAAGCTTTGCACTGGATGTAGAATAGTCTCCGGATGAGGATAAGCGGTTCCTGCAAAAATCGAAAGTATACAACACCACTGTGAGTGAAGCAAGTAGACAGTATGGACCAGTGAGAAGACAAATTGACCAACAGTACACTGTATTTTAGTTTTCACTCGAAATTTCTCCATATTCCAACCTAAATCGTTTTAAACAAAAGTCGTGTACAATGTCTCTAATTCCAACATCTAACAAAAGAGTTTGCAATCATATTGTTACCTACTCCACATAGGGGAGGTATGAGTTACTTGAAATACTATCTTTACAAGTCTTTTAAGCTGTCAACTCACCTTTTGCAGTTATATTTGGATAAGGCTTGTATTAAGGCAAGGTAGTCGTGACAATGGGTAAATATTAGCGACTTAAACGAAGGTTACAAGTAAATGGACGTAACTATCTAGACCAACCAATCAGATGAGCTCGCAGTGGAAGCGCGCAATTTAAACATCAAGGTCGGTGGTAAAAATTAGTTATAGGGTGACTTTCTGTATGTGACACAAGAGAGCCTCACAATTTCCTGTTGGAATCTTCGGTGATTCTTGTGGTCATTATATATTGTAAACGTGGAATTTAAGCTGTTGATAAGTTTGTCAACATGTAATTACATGTCAACTTAAGTTGACTTATAATTATAAGTCGATAGAGTAAAACTTCAGCGATTTTCATCCACATATCCAGTGCCTACTGGCTTCATCTCAAAACCTTACTCTGCACTTAAAATGACTATTTTAAGTAAAACCAAGTCGCTTAGAGTTCTTGCTATGTGATGTAATCAAATATTAGTTTGAGTACTCAGTACTCTCGTTTGGCTTGAATACTCACCTTCCGGCTTACCGATCTGGCGCTGGCAGTTAAGTAGTATCAGTAGTCTCACAAAGTTTTGAACATAAACACTCCGTATACATGAATTCACAAACGAATTTTGATTTATTTTGTGGATGATTTATTCGAAATCTCCAGATATATTATATAACGAGTTCTTAGACAGTTCTTTTATGATCTCACGAGTAAGTGCAATGCATTTGAAAAGTTGTGTATAATTTCTCTCTTACTTCTTACTCATTTAAATTCAGACTTATTGGTTGAACATAGAGAGCTTGGAGTCTGTGTTAATTCTTTTCTAGGAAATTTCTGTGCTTGTCCAAACCCTTCTTGAATGAATTAATTGGGGTTGCAGACACCACTTCTTTCGAGAGTCGGTCCCAGGAGTTTATGCCTCAGTGTGAGAACCAGTACTCTTTCTCCTTGGCTTTTGAATTCTCCTACTGTGTCCTCTAAGGTGTTCCGACCACCTAGTGGGAAGGATAAGGCAGAATAGATCACATCCATAGTCATCATTTAAAATTTTAAACGTTGTATGACAGGAGGAAGAGATTTAAACTGTCTAGTCTTTCCTTGTGTAATGATTTAGTCATGCTAGGATTCATACGTGTTGCTTTCCTTTGAACTCTTTCTAGAATACGTGAGTCCCCTATAAGAAAAGAACTGGCTGGTTGTTTGGATACAGTTTTCCAGTCTTGATATCACCAGAGGTGTATATGAGGAGTTGAACATATCTCTGGTGATTATAGTAAAGGCTCTGTGAATTTCCCATAAGGATCTGAAACTAAGTGCAGCCACTGCACGACAATGCGCTGTAGTTTTCAAATCATGACTTTATACTCCACCTTATACCATCTCTATTCTGTTTTTTGTACGTTATTTAGCGATGTTTAATTCCCAGCTAAATCCAGAAGTGGCGCCTAATTATCCCTACTCACAATTATCAAAATTTCTGGTTACTAAGCGATCATGGCGAGCGAACTCTGTGTGGTCCAACTTTCCCACAAAACAGAATATACAAATAATGTACGTTTAGATACATTTAAGTAGTTTTTATTACATTTAGCCTTGGATTTTTCTGCCCGTCTAAATTTTAATCTTTCAGTAAATAAAGGACTAATTTCTATAAGCATAAGACTTAGGCACTGGTAGAGTATAACTTTATTAAAAGATTTTATTTTGATAATTCACAATAATAATTACACGTTTCTGTGCTCTAACTTACAATCATGAGTGGTCGCAGCAAAGGTGGAAAGTCTCGCACAAAGGCAAAGACTCGGTCAGCTCGTGCTGGTCCTCCGTTCCCAGTTGGTCGTGTTCGGCGTCTGTTGCGCAAGGGTATCCACGCTGAACACATCGGTGCTGGAGCGCTGGTATACTTGACAACTGTACTCGAACACCTGGCCGCTAAAATGCTTGAATTGGCTGGTAATGCCACCTGTGACAACAAGAAGACCCGTATAACCCCTCGTCACTTGCGACTGGCCATCTGCAACAATGAGGGGTTAAACTAACTGCTCGGTGGTGTTACGATCGCTCAGGGTGGAGCAATAATTTGTGCTCGAAACGTCATCAGTTAATGGTACTGTATAACACTGTGTGATTCATCAAAATAAAATCTTATCTATAATAAAGAACTAATTTTCTGAACAGGCCTTGTCATTTCAAAATTTTCATTATAATAAAGGTTTTTGTATTTCCCAATGAATGCAAAACAAAACGATATTGTTTTTACTGACGTTTCACTATTTAATGCTAATAGCTTTATCAAAGTATTATTAAACCGAAATTTACAAAATCTCAGCACATATATAACAAAGAGTTAGGGGGTGAGAAAATAGACTTAGGACAAGTAAAAAGGACATATTGAAAGTCAAAATAACAATGAAGACCACTAAACCAAAATTTTCCTAAAAGTTTCCTACTTTTATTCATATAAGTAATAAAATCGTTTGTGAAATGCGAGATGAAATTTCGAGAGTTGTTGAAGTTGTAGTGTCACTTTCTATTTGAAGTATTGTGTTTGGATGTCAGTCATTCGTTAATTTATTAATATATATAAGATTGTTAACATTTTTAAATGTTCTATGGTGGCATAGTGGTAGAATACTCTCCGCCAACCACTCCCCATGTAGTTCGGAGTTCGATCCTCGACCACCGACGCTAGACCAGTAATAAGACTTGTAAAGAGGGAAGGTTGAGCATGAGGCTAACAGCAACCCCATCGCGTAAAATCAGACACCGGCGAAGCTCAACAATAGCATCCCAGGATTGCGAACACTCTAAGGACCTTGAACACATGCTAGTCGTTGGCTGACAGAAACCATAGTAATTCAACCGAGGGATTTGAGGAAGACTGCACAACAGGATAAAAGAGGTGAATGATTCACAAAAACAGCTCTTCATTCACCTCGGTGAATACATGTACACAAACTAGTCTAACTTAGCAACTGATACTCTTCATTATAACAGGGATGTATTTTTAATTCATGTCAGAGAAAGACCCTGTTTAATGCGTTTTTGTCTACATTTTCTTGTAAATATACGTCATTTTTAGTGCAAAAATTCCTCATTTTTATGATTGGTCGGCTGAGGGGTCACTCGTGGATTTGCATCCTTTGGGACGCTGTTGATGAACTTTGCCCAAACACCACTGCTGCCGATACTTCAGGCCTCTCTGTTTTCAAGGTGCCTTATGTTCCACATTGGGAATGTAGAAGAATAAAAAAAATAATAGAACATTTTGAATGGGTCGTATGTACCAGTGTGCAAAATTCATCTTGATTGGAGACATTTAGATGGCATTAAGTGGACTCCGATAAGTTTTTTTTCTACTGACAAACATATACAGAATGTGGCTGCGTGTTTTATGTTAGATTCTTAGTGTCATATTGAAATGTTACTATGGGATTTTACAGTAACACTTTGCATACTCATTGGATTCATTTCAGTAGTGTTGTTTTTGTACTTATGACTGGGTGAATGCTGGAGATATGTAGAACACGTGCTGTATGAAAACTATTCCATCATATTTATCAGGCGTATAATATATATATATATATATATATATATATATATATATATATATATAAATTAATAATTGCCATCTAATATCATCAAATCAATGTGCACCGTGATGGTGAGCTACCTACTAGCATAGTGGCCACATTGCAAACTTGACTGACTAGTAGAATTCAGTCTGCACCAAACGAAGGTCTAGCCAGACACATCACACTAGCTACTGACTGGTGTCCAATCAAAAATAGCCAATGCGTCGGTGGCACAGCGGTTAGGACTCGCCAACCATGCACATAATCTGTGGTTCGATCCCCTGCCGATACACACCTGATATCAGTGGTTGGCCTGCAAAATTTGGGCTACCGAGGTCGTATGCTGAAAATTCCTTAGTTGTGCCAAAAATACGATGAGGAATCAAGCTGTAATCAAGAAAATAGTACAGTCAATCTTACAGGAGGTCAATCGCGAGCCTGAATAGCTTAGTGGTGACATCTCTGACTTACTGCAGTACTCACTAGGTAGAGACGCGTGAGTTTGAATCTCAGAAGGAGGGACATGAGTTGTTCCTTCAATGTGGTTGCAGATACACGCTTTGCTGACTGACTTTTGAGTGCCAACTAGCACGAAACCTAGCTCGAGCAAGGCTTCCTTCCTGTGGCCGATTGCCTCCAGCCATCCAACAAATCGCTGTCAGCATGCGTTTTCAACTAAACTAAGTTCATTATAATATACGGTTTTCGTATTTCCCAGTGAATGAATGAAAAACAAAACGATATTGTTGTCGATTTTAACTGATGCCTCGACATTTAATGCTGCTGCTGCTAATAGCTTTATCATCAAAGTAGTAATATTAAACCCGAAGAATTTGCAAAATCCACTCAGCTTATATACACATAACTTAATCATCGTTCCTCTGCATGGGGGAATTTTTATGTTGTCGTCAAGTTGGCCAATTGGTGAACATAACAAAACTAGGTGTAGGTGACTGTTGGATAAGTGTATAAAATTATGCAAAAGCAGAATGTGTTTAAATGATGAAATTGCTTATTAAATTTGTATTAACTTTGTTTCATGAAGGAGGATGGGGTTTGTTTATAATTCTAAGACAAATAAAAATAAATTTCCCACATTATTTTTTACAGCAGTAATCCAACAAAAGATAAAAATAAAACAAAACTATTAAATGCATGTACTGGGGATGCTGTGGATAGTTCAAATTTTCCAAAGAATAGTTTTAATAATGAAACATCCAGTACTTTGTCTCTACCATGTCCAAATACATCGCCGCATTTTACAAATACACCATCTGAGGAAGAAGTAAAACTAAATAAATTTCTTGAAGTTCATGGATTCCGGTGGTATCAAGTTGTGGTGTTTTTGGTTTCTGTATTAACTTACCTTGCCGATGTTGTATCTGATGCTTATCTGGTATTCACATATTATGCACAGGTTAGTTTCTTTGAATTGTATTTTAGTAATACAATTAATTATTATTCATTTAGGTATTTAACGAGGACGTGAATTAAGTACTCTTTTATTATTATTCTGACTCATTATAGGTAGTTATTAAGGAAAAATTGATTTCATTAGGAACAGTTTTGGTTATTTAGAATTAGTTGTGGTCTCTGAGGAGCTACTTCATTTGTCTTTAATTATGAAGCTTTCGTCATCCGCTCCCCTCCCGCTTCTGAACAACGAACCCCACTTCAGCGGAATTATTAGCATAAAATGAACTCATTTGAATTCCTCCTCTATGAATGACAACGTAATCGTCTCCATTCTGACAACCATTGTCCTGACTGGTTGTTGATTTACATCTCTGTTGGTCATGTTTAGTGACTTGGAATTATGAATATTCTTGTCACATGATTTACTTTTTATTAGCTGGTAAATTTGTTCTATAGTAATTAACGTGTGTTTGTTAATCGATGGCTGATTCACTTGACTACCAACCAGGTTTCTAGGAATTCCCTGACTGCATATATATCATGTCTCTTCACAGCGAATTTGTGGCGTTCTTGGATTCTGATTCAAAGAGGATGTCCACTTTGTTGACTGATGTAATGTCTGTTACAGTTCATACATGCAATTTATTTTGCAGACGGTATTAATTTTATCTTCTTTTTCTGTTGGATGACTCTTCCAGTTTCCACAATATCGAATGAAGTGATTGTGCTGGTTGACTTGTGTGGTATATCTATTTCAAACGGTTTTAATATCCTAGCTCTTACTTCAGAAATATATTTTTCTTATATATGGTAGAATGAATTTTTTTGTAGTCTTTCATGATGGTTTCTTGTTGTTGTTGGTGTTGTGACTCGAGTTGAAACACTTTTTGATGAAATTGTGTTGGTATCAATTGTTTTTGAAGAGGGTTAGTAGGTATCTTTCCTCCATTCTGTTCAACACTGGAGTACTGCTACAGTGTGTTTGAACTTTCTTTTAAACAGTGTCTGCACACAGTGTCTTTTGTGAGTCATTGGGTTGTGTTATTACTACTATAATTGAGTATTTGGTCTGTATGCGTTGATTCTCTGAGTACTTGAGTTTCTAAATTTCCTGTATTAGTTCTCTTGATTAAGACATTGTCGTCTAATTCTTCTTATTTCGTGGTGAATTTAATGTCTTCGAATATTTTGTTTATTAATTTGTGGGTATATTCCAAGTCACATTTCTTTTAATTATTACAAATATATCATCAAAGTAAGGTACCCAGAGTTTTGGTTTAATTACAGGTAGGTTGAGCTCTTAATTCTAATCTTTGCATGACAGCTTCAGCTATTAATCCTGACGTGATATGGAGCAATGATCCCATCGGTGTTCCTTTTATCTGTTCATACATATTGCATTATTGAATTAGAAGTATGTTGTAATACATGCTTCTATGAGTTCTATCCAAGTTGAACACTGTGGTTTTATGTTTTTCATCGCTATAGAGTAATTGCTGCTTAGTTTCTTTCGGTAGTTTTGGATTAATTGAAGTATATAAGGCTGTGTGACATCAAAGGACACCATTGTTTCATTGTTCATCAACCTGGGCTAGAAATCATCTCTGTTATTTCGAAATTTTTATTTCACTGTTTTTTTAATCAAAAATGATTCTCATATTTTTTCACGGCTTAGTCTCTAAATGCATGTTCTGCATCTTTTATGAAAATGTGGTGATTTACCTGTATGGGTGATTGCCAAGCTAAGATAAATTCGCCGAATGAAGGCAGGTGTAACTTCCAAGTAGTTGAATAAAAAAATTGACAACATGATATCAACGTTTCTCTAATTGTGTTTATTCTAGTACATTGGCAAGAGGAATAGAAAATTCTTGTAATTAAAGCAGGCTGTACCGTCGGAGTTCATAAATCCGATCTTTGTATACACGCAGAAACACTAGCTATACTCTAGTTGTTTTGAGATGATATGTCTAGTGTACTGATTAACTGACTGACTGGTTTCAACGTGGAACTTTGCACCGATGTACAGCAGTAATTCGAGTTGCCAAACACTCCTTCTATGTACCACACAATGCAAGAGAAGAGAGTACAGAAAAATTCAAAACACAAATATGAGGCAAAAAGAATAGTAGTAATATGGAAGAACAATATAGCTTTTATTGGATATTTTAAGTCACAAGGAGTGGATGCATCTGCACCAGACAGCCATCACCGAGAACGATCACTATGAGCCAGTCATATCACAAATTGTCTCCAGCCATTGGTTTTTAACTTCCCGAGTACCCCAAACAGACAACAGTTTACACTTCCCTACGTGGCGGTCTGCCTTAGACTAACTCTTGGATTTCATTGACTGTTGAAGCCATGCCTTGGTTCGACCACCATTGGCTAACTCTTTTCCAACGTGATCCATCCTATGTCAGGTAACATTCCTCATTGTCGACGAAGGCGATGGCTAGTCATGAAGGTGTAACACGTATCTTAGCCATCTCATTCGATGTAAATTCACAGCCTCGTCTATTGATTTCCCCTCTTTACCTAGCACTTGCCTCACCTCAATATTACTCACCCTGTTATACCACCTCCTGACACCGGAAATAGAATCCAGACATCTACAATCAAAGACAGCTAGTTGGCCGATCTTTTCATGTCTTCCACTTCGCCAGGTCTGACAGTCGTAAAAGAGGACAGAGCGAACTGCTGCTGAGCAGTACACAGGTGGTTTGGACGGAAGCCAGTCAACCGGATATCACTTCTACTAAGGCACAGGTGCCAAACGAGCTTTTTGTATTCGTACCCAGCTGAGATTTCGTCAGCTATCAGATCAACCTGCTGGTGTTGACTGGGCTGATGCAACAACTTCGCAAATAAGTGAATTGGTCGACACGCTCCGCCAACCACTTCATTCCTATCTTTCTTCAAGCTAGGAGTAGTCGATATAGTCCAGTCCAGTCAGTCGTGTATCCTCATCACCTTACATTTGCCAGAAATAGTAGCGAATCTCATACCAAAATTTCAAAGATTGCTGCTCCTCAAGGTGTTTAGATGACTCTGCATTGTGTCTGGTTTAGTATCCTCAACAAAACTTTCTATGCGAAATATTTATAACTCAAAATAAGGATGTGTTCACAGAGGTTTGTTAATTGATCTTCAGTGTTTCATCGTCGAAATCAGACAACATATGCAATTGTTGCACGAATGTTTACGTGTTTATTTCTTCTTTTCATCCAGTTGTCAATGCCAACTTTCTGACCAGCATAGAAGAACTGATCGACTTGACATTGGTGTTGAAAATCCAAATCTTGTTCCTTATGCTGAGTCTGAGTGAAGCAGATGATTTCCAAACTGGTTTCAGGTTGACGAAGGTTGCACGTCGCCTTTCCGAAACTGACTGGTTGGCTTTGACACCTTTATCCGTGCTATCGGCATGTAGCTGAAACGATGCTGGCTGCCTAGATAAGTGAGGGAGATAACCTCTGTTAAATCTCTCCAGTTGATGGTGATTGGTGCTGGTTGCTGTTGTTGTGGTTCGTTGGTTATCTTCATCACCTCCATCTCTATATTCGCCTGGATGGAGTCCTATCTTCGCTGCCAGACTCTTCAGCCAGTTTGTTGGTTTACGCCTTCCTGTAATTCTTCAATTTTCTGTGACGTTATACATACATTATTTGCGAAATCCAAATCTTTTAGAGTCTTCTTATCTGTGGTCCAGCGTACTCCTGCCTCCTCGCTCCTCACTCACAGTTTGATGCATAATCCAGCCCACCAGAATTAGGAATATCACTGATGATAATTGGCAGTCAGCAAGCTAGCCAGTTTGTCTTACTCATGTGTGCACTCCGAGCGCCTTGCTGAGTTTTCCATTGTGGATCACCAGACTGACACGTGCCATCGTCATACAACCAACCAGCTGTTGAATGAGGTTGATAAAGACTTGCACACTGCACGCCGTCGTGTTGAAGTGGTTTCCAAACTACTTCTCGGTCAACACTGTCTGTCGAAGAGCTTTTCGAAGTCGATGATATCGTTGAGGTAGAGAGAGGTTTGACTGCCATTCTGTGTTTTATTCTGTGATGATGATGACGATGCGTGGAGTTTCAATTTGATCATCGCCACATGGTTTACTTTTCCTGAATCCGTCCATCTTGTTCTGGGAGGTGTGGCTGGCGGAGTTCTGTATTTGGTGCATTCTTTTTTCTCTCCAGGATTTTACTTGGCGTAGTTGGAGGAGATCATTGCATCACAACAACAGTCCCTTCAGAGTGGGGCGTAATTCGCCCTTCTTTGATAGCTTGACAAGGTAGCTAACCCTTCTTCCACTCAGCAGGTACTCTTCCTTCTTTACAAACCGTTCACAGTGATGGCGTGAAAAGGTCTACCGCAATCTGTGTCCGTGTACAGTGCTTCGGGGAGGGCTTCGTGTGCTTTTGGAAGTGTGTGGATGGTTGTTACTTCCCGGCTATCCCCCACACCAACGTGGGAGTTGATTGCTTCTTCAGGTATTTGAAACAGAAAGATAGTGTCGCGTGACCGCAGCTGACTCAAGATAACACAACTGATTGAGGCCTGCCTGTCATGCACGGTCTGTATGAACTAGTTTCTTGGATTGGTTCCATATTAGTAAACTCACCGCCGGTTACAGACTATCACCGTAGGTGGGGTAAGTCAGGATGCATAATTTTTAAGGTCGACCTTTTCTAACTCCCTTTCACTCTCTCCAGATAGGTGGAGAGACAGCATAGCTGGCTAGCTGTCTGGTATGTTGGTCATCTGAGTGATGGAAACAGCTTACGGCTGCTGTTACATCCCTGTTCCCCAGCAGTAGTACGACTTCGCCCACAGACAGATCCCCAGCATAGAGCCGACAACTGCTTTTAGTCTAATTGCTATCCTAAAAATCTTCCTGACATGGTACGGCTTACAGGAACAATAGTTCAAGCCACTGTGTAGCTTGTTGAGTCATTGCGCGATATGCAAGCTCGGCGATCACCATCAACACATCAAGGTAGGCAGCAGCTATTGGTCGGGTCTTGAGGCTGTAGTTTAACTCATGTAATGAAGGATGTACATGTATACTTTTTTGTGGTAATTACATAACCAGTGAGTGTGAGATAAAAGTGAATAATTGAACTATGGATTATAAAGTAACCCACGTAACTTAAGGGTTCTGATTTTGGTTATATTTACTAAGATACCTTTGTGTGTGTATGTTTGTGTCTGTGTGCTTCAGATTTCACTTGTTGTATTTGAGATGAGATCTGTAGTCTTAAGTATTCAGTATTTTTTTCTATTCAACGTATCTTATATTTTATATATTTTGTAACCCATTCTGTATTGCTTTACTGTGTTTGTGTGTGTGTGTGTATGTGTTGTGTACTGCACAGGGGGATTATTTCTGGTCTGTGTTAACCATGATATTCATGATTGTTCCAGCACTTCTCATGTCAACTTTCAGTCTCACATGGTATTTTCTAGACAATAAAGTTCGAGTTGATCCTCCACGTAGCTGTCGAGCATGGACATTTCGATTGATTTTTCATGGTCTTCAATTAGCCCCTTTAGTACGGTATGTTTTATTTTGTGAATGGTTTTTGTTATATTTATTTATTAATAATTTTTTATATGAAAATCACCCTTTATTTTGAACGAAATGGGAGTTATCATCTCAGATTTAAGTGTGAAAAAAAGTATCTGAATTGGTTTTCTATTAGAATGCCTATTTTTAAGTCTCAGTGCTTGATTAGTCGTCATATTTTTTACTTTGCCAGGCGATTCGTTGGTGCTGCTGTCAAATGTAAGATGATGAGGCTACAGAATCATTCATTGAATCCTGGCTTGAAGAAAGGTAGGAATGAAGTGGTTGGCGGAGCGTGTCGACCACTTCACTTATTTGCGAAGTTGTTGCATCAGCCCAGTCAACACCAGCAGGTTGATCTGATCGCTGACGAAATCTCAGCTGGGTACGGATGCAGAAGGCTCGTTTTGCACATGCTAGTTTATACCATCTGTGCCTTAGTAGACGTGATAACCGACTGATTGGCTGCCGACAAAATGACGTGTGTACTGCTCAGCAGTAGTTCGTTGTTTCCCCCTCCTTTATGGCTGGCTGGCTGATAGACATGGCCATTGGAAGTCGAAAACATGTAAAGGCCGGCTAGCCAGCTGTCTCTGATCATAGGTGTATGCGTTCTATCTCTCGTGTTGTTAGATGATGGTATAATAATGTGAGCAATATTGAGGTGTGGCATCGATCGAGTACTAGGTAAGGAGGAGGGGAAATCCATCGACAAGGCTGTGAAACAGTTACATTGATTGAGAAGGTAAAGATATGCGTTACGTCTTCATGACTAGCCATCGCCTTCTTCTAAAACAGGCAGTGTTAGCTGACTAAGATAGGATGCCTCAGGTTGGGAAAGTTAGCCAGTGGTGGTCAAACCAAAACATGGTTTCATCATCAGTCAGTGAAATCCACAACAGTTAGTTTAAGCCAGTCAGTCAGCCAGTCACTTGGGGAGGTGTGGACTTCCTGACTGGTTTGGATCCTCGAGATGGTGGTAAGCAATGAAAGCTGGAGACAATTGATGATATGGCTAGCTCAAAGTGATACTTCTCAGTGATGGCTGGCTGGTGCAGATGCATCCACTCTTTGTGACTTATATTATCCAATAAAAATATATTGTTCTTCCATTTTACAACTGTTCTTTTTGCCTCATATCTCTGTTTATTATCTCTCTTAACTGGAGGGGGGGGGAGATTGGCATCTCGAACTGCTGTACATCGGTGCAAAGTTCTACGTTGAATCCAGTCAGTCAGTCTGTATGTCGGTGTGATATTGACGTGAATTATGTAAGGCGGCAGTCAAATAAAGTGCTCTTCGCATACATTTGACTAAAGGATAACGAAGTTATTTTCAACAGACCTTGCCTTGTGTTTGTATATTCTATGAATTAATGATGGTGTACACTGTTTTTTCCTCTTCATAATGATCATCTATTCTCCTGTTTGTGCATGTTTGCGTGTGTTTGAAATGTTAGTGTAAATTATCGACTGCTTCAATATGCCACAGATTTTGAGTAATTCTGCTGCCGGTCATGGTGCTTGTGGTGGTGATGATAGTGAATATAGCTGATGGCCAGCTTGACTGACGTATATGGTGGTGATGTAGAATAAATTGACGAATGAGAGTAGTTAGTTACGAGCAACACACATGTATTAATATTATTATTATTATCATTACTAATAGATAGGTCGACTGGACTGAATACACACACCACCTACTATTATGCAATAGTTGGTTTTATTGTTGTCATATATTGTAAGGCTGATGGGTGAAGATAAATGTTATCGCATTTTAAATTTACCTCGCCTCTGGTTTTCTCGTCTTTCATTGGCTAGAACAATGCCAGTCAGTTGGATATTTCATTTGCCGTAGGTGTCGGTGCTATCGTATAAGTTGTTGTGTAGTTGTTGTGTTTGCAGAGCACATACTACTTAATATATGGATAAAAATAATAACAGTTTTCTTTATTGTAGCTTGATTCCACACAGTACTTTTGGTAGAAGTATGGAATTTTCAGCAATGTGATATCGGTAGCCCAAATTTTGCAGGCCGACCATTGATATCAGGTATGCGTCGGCTCTTGTGTATGGTCAGTGAGAATCTTGACCACGACCAACTCGCATCCACTTTAAAGAATTTTTCAGGTTCATGCAAGTTAATATATGAGCGCAGTAAAAAAGTTAGACTTAGAGTTACAGATAAAGAGAACCAAAAGAAAACCTAGGAGTACTGAACACCTGTCTTGTCCTAGTTTGGGACTCTTCGTAAGTATACCCCCTTTGGGGGTTGAAACCAAGACCTTCCGGTTACGAGGAGAGCTAATGGACGATTAGGCCACTACGACCCGTCTGACTGGCTGTCGACGAAAGGCCGTGTGTACTGTTCAGCAGTCCACTCTGTCCTCGTTTATGGCTGGCTGTCTGTGAAACCTGGCCAGTGAAAGTGGGGGACACAAAAAGGCCGGCCGGCTAGCTGTCTTTGATCATAGGTTTCTGCATTCTATCTCCTGTGTTAGGTGCTTGTACAATACTGCAAGCGCAATTTCCATATCTCTTATGGACAAAAGTATCTCCTAAAGAAATCCAAAATATCTTAGTGGTCTGAAAGTGAATGATATGACTTAAGTAATACGTGTGCTAGTGTAACAACAGAAGACAAGGGCCAGGCAACAGATTGTTTACTGAGAAATCAATAGATTTTCAAGTATTGGTTTTGTAGGGATTTCGTTTGATTGCAACTGATGTCAGCTCATGATTAAATCCTCCATGAAATCAATAGATATTTATAGATTTTTTGTACATTCTTGTCAGCGAAGAAGCTACGTCCTCTGATTGGTTGTTTTCCTGCTGAATATTATTCTGTCATTTCTTCGTTGTTGTCTTTTAGACAGTCTGATGATATATCTGCGAATCGTATCTGCCTACGCTAAATCTTCTGTGACTGGTTGTTGAGTTCCTCAAGGTTAGGCTTTGCTCTTTTTTTCTCTCCTGACCTCAATTCCGGACGTAAACATTGACGTAAATTGTTGTCTACAATTTTGGCTTGCAGACAGCTCTCATCACACTAGTATTCTGGTAAAGTAGGAAGGATCTGCGGGCTACTCTCCGACAGAAACGCAATACTAAGTGTAAACAGTAAGACATTTCACAAGGACTATGCATATTTTTTTTACTCTCTCAATGCACACTGATATCAAGATAAGTAGATGCTATTTGATGCAGTAAGCACTCACGGTCTTCTAAAATTACATGTGACAATGTAAATTCCACTTGTATCACATCTTCGGCGTTAACCATGAACTTCATCAAAATGGACATAATCGCTGCAAAATTCAACTGCTAGTTTCATTCACCGTATGATATCTCCGATGTGCTATGAAGGACTTCACTCATCACGGATAAAAATAAATATGCTTAAGTTCTTCAGAATAGATATCTAACTTGTGTACGTGGTCTTATTCTCTACGAAAAGCCTGAATCTTATAATATAACCGCTATGACATTATCCATTGCCTGTAGTTAATTTACGACTTGAAAATATAAAAGTCATTTCTATGTATAATTATGCATGTTTCAATAGAGAAAGAAATACCAGATTTGCAGTATAAAATGATGCCATCATCATTCTATTTCACAGGTTCTCCTCATCGGTTGCTGCACACCCCTACTTGAAATTACAATGGTTATAAATAATAACATTTCATACTTCAATGTTTAAAAGGCAATAGAGAAAACAGTATAAGATGAACGCATTTGACATATAAGCGGCATTACAATTTTTAGTTTAAGTCACCATCAGTTTAAATATGCTTTCAAACTATGAAAAAACGGTAGGGGTGGGTGAGAGAAGACAGAAAACAGAAAAATTTAATAAACAGTATTAGCTGGTACGTCAACATGGTAGCTACAGAAGGTTAGAGTTCATCAAATTAAAAACTTGCTTAGTGAGCTGAGCTCACTAGTGTGCATGACTCATCAATGTAATCATAGTAATACGGTTAACAAGGGAGTGAGTGAGAGATTGTGACTGCACTCTCTTTCTGTGTGCATAAGTTTAGTCTGAAACGTTTGATTGCTGTATTTGCTTCAGCAAATCTCAGTAGATTCGCTATCCCTTTTTTGTTTAACATTTTAAAGGATTTGGAAATGTCGACAAAACGACTCGTATAGACAGGGTGGGTGTCTGGTAATTTCACTTTGTAAATATCTGCTTCCTTTTAAGAACATAAATTGATGGTAACTCAAACTAAAAATTGTAATGCCGCTTATATGTCAAATGCGTTCATCTTATACTGTTTTCTCTATTGCCTTTTAAACATTGAAGTATGAAATGTTATTATTTATAACCATTGTAATTTCAAGTAGGGGTGTACGGCAGCCGATGAGGAGAACGTGTGAAATAGAATGATGATATCATTTTATACTGCAAATCTGGTATTTCCTGCTCTATCGAAATTTATCAAGGGAACCAAATGTATGAAATTATGTATGTAACCTTCTGCGTAATAATTCATCTACGAAGTCAAAATAGTTTTACGAGTTAATTCGAACATAATACATGCAAATATTGCTCTTTTAGACTGTATGTCGGTGACACAGCTGTAGAATGTTCGCCGACCACGCATGGGATCCGGGGTATGATCCCCGGCTGACGCACTCCTTTACCTCGCTCGCTGAGCCGGTAATAAGACTGGTAAAGAGGGGAAGGTTGAGCATGGGACTGGCTAGCAATCCCATCCCGTAAAACTAAACAGCACTACCACCGAAAATTCAGGCCTCTAGCTTGAAGGTGCCTTCTGTTTCACTTGGAATGTAAAGGAATAAAAAAAAGACTAAAGAAGCCTAAAACTAATTAAGTATACTCCATTTTGGCAAAATTAGACGCTTATAACGCCTCTATGCGCATATGAACACGATAACCCATAGTATGCGCGAAAACACATCGTGAAAGCCTTTATCCTCCCTCACTCAAGGCTGACTAGAGTGTACAGAGAACAAATATTTTCAAAGTAATGTACGTGTAATCAGTGAGAAGTAATAAAAACCCGTAAATGTCATTTCGTCGTTAATTTTTTCGTATTGATTAATATTAACACTTGATAAACACGGTAGGCAGGTAGGTAGGTGGGTAGGTGGATGATCAGGAAACCAAGAGATGTTGTCATCTTGTTTAGTCGGGGGTTTATTTGTTTTCTTCACCTGCATATAACATGTGAAACAATTTAATTATCATACAATCATCATTGTCATTATTATTATTTCCCTTGACGAGTATTTTGTGAAGCAAGAGCGATTGTTACCTTTCCTAGTACTACTACGAGTGTGGTGAGAGCAGGCTGCTAGCCAAATTGGTAGACATTAATTGACGTCAATGTTTATGTCCCAAATATTGGTCGTGAGAAAATATGAACAAAGACTGATTCAACAACCAACCACAGCAGACTTTGCGTAGGCAGAGACAGTTAACATATAGATGATCTGACATTCAAGAAACATTCACAAGGCAATGCAAGGTTAACTTTTTGTGAGAAATAACCAATCAGAAGACTGTGTTTTTATGCTAACAATAATCTATACTATGTACATGAAAATATATAAATATATGTTGATTTCCTTAATAAACGATCTGTTGCCTGACTCTTGTCTTCTGTTGTTACGCTACCAGTGTAACAGCAGAAGTCAGGGCACGAAAGCCAAGGTATGTTTTCAATTGTTCAAACAGCTATTTCGTACTAGTTCCTTTATTAGATATATCACACAGTCAAACAGTATTATTGATTACTGGATGACAGAGTTTCGAACACAATCCATTATTGTTCACAATCAAATCAATTATAATCACACGACTTCAAAACTTGAGTTTTATAGCTTTCTTTGTTCTCTCCTATTTGTCATCGTAGGTGTGGTAGTAGAATTCATCAGATGTCGACGTGGACAGGTGGTGAACCATTCCTAATACACGTGTTTGGAGTTGTGATTCGATAGACAAAGCTCCCGTTATCAATCTCTCCCTCCCTCTCTCCACCCGCCCTATTACATTACATTTTAAAACAAACTGTCATCTTATCCCATCATCCTATATTGTATGGTTGTGTGTAATTGGATGTAGTGAGTGGTATGGCTGAACTATTCTCCAGATTTCTCATTACCTTATTCGGGTCAACTAATCTAGATTTTGTTCCTAGGTTTTTATGCTATGCTAGTCTGACTGACTGTGCACCTGTTCTACTACTTTGACCTGACAATTATTTCTTTCCCTTCACGTTCCCAGGTGGAACATAGGGGTTTAAGCTAGTGGCTTGAAGTTTCTCTAGCAGTGTTTATTTTACAGGATGGGGTTGCTGGCTTCATGCCCAACCTTTCCTCTTTACCAGCATTATTTCTGGCTTAGCGAGGTAAAGGAGTGCGTCAGCCAGGGATCGAACCTCGGACCATGTGCATGGTCGGCGAGCGTCCTAACCGCTATGCTACCGAAGCACATGACAATTATTGCAGGCAGGGTATTAGATAAACTAAATTGTTTTGATTAATGGACTCCATAGGTAGGATCATTTAGCCGACAAAGTTTGTTTCTAATGGAGTTTGTGGGTTTGAATGCCAGCCACTTTTATTCCTGCATTGTTAAGAATTCTCCTTAGGGTTTCCATGTTTCCTTTTTTGTATGAAAGCCCACACTACTGATGAATTATGCTTCGTGTTGTTGGTGTTCTCATTATCCTGTGCATCCAGTAATTAATACTACTATTTAACTGTGTCCTATATCTAATAAACAAACTAATATGGAATTACTTATTGCCACAGTGCCCAATTTGTAAACATATTATTAACGAAACTGCTATTTATATCTATACAGTTTTATATTCATTAACCAATCATCACTGAGGGGGAGTGTGATTTCGGTTTCCTTTAAACGACATGAATCAGAATGTTCCAATATACATATATAGTATTCTGTTGCCAATGCAGTATTTAACTGTAGGAATAGTATTTGTAAGAATAATATTCCGTTGGAACACACATTGTTATCTGCATTACACCACTACACCACACTCGTCGCCCCCGCATCATATTTTTTCAACTGAAGTCGATTTGATCTTCTTAGTGCTGGCAGCTCTGTTTGTTTGGTCTGGAGCTCGCTAACGTTCACTTGCTTCTCTTTGTTTGCACTTCTGATGGTATATACGTGACCCTGTCTCGCAGTGAATATGTGTATGGCCCTTCCCACTTTGGAAGTAGTTTGTGTGGTGCTGGTTGGCTGGTGCGTATTCGCCGGTGTTTCGCCTCACACTATCATTACATGCTGCTTTTTCCCAACGTCAGCGTCCCAAATGAAAGCGTCTTTACTGACGGATGTTGAACGCCACTCAACTCCGTAACAGCCTCGAATTCCTGTAAGAAGATACATATGTCTCCTTCTTCAAAGAATGCATGCCGTGGGATTCTGATCTGTCGGTACGTATTGACACCAAATATAACAGCAGAATTCAAGACACGATATATATATATATATATATATATACAAATACTTATGTTATTTAATATGAAGTTGAAGGCCATTAATGTCACACAATAAAAAGGGGTAGAAATTGTTATTGTTATTAGGCTTGTCAGGACGCATAGGAACGCTCGTAAGCATATTCTATAATTAGAAATAGAGGTGTGTAACACTGACAGTAAATGTTACCTGTGAGGGGGGTGGTTAAATAATTTAGTAATTAGACAACGGTCTAGAAGTAGTCAGGTCAAGCGTATTAGGTGGAAACAAGATTTAAGGACATGGAATTGTGTTGTTATAGCAAAATGTAACTAAAACAATACAAAATTAAAAATTGAGTAAAATACATAAATATTCCATTAAGGATAAGAGTTTACTTTGATAAAGTGTCACAAACAATGTGTTTGTTTGTTATGTAGTAATATTTATTGATGCTGGCCACGCGCTTCCAACACAGTTTATGATTGCTACTACTCATAATCATATCAAGGCTTCACTGATATCTCATATTTGCCATATAAGAAGGGGACATCTGAAACTCTCCCTACGTAGGATTCTCAATAAAGCAGGAATCAGGATGGTGGCTTTTAAACCTGCAAACTCACTCGGATAAGACAAGCTCTGTAGGCTAAATAATCCAGTGGACCCAATTAGACAAAATAATGTAATTTACATTATATACCTTGCGATGACTGTGAGTTAGGTCAACTACCTACATAAGTGAGTCAAACTAGTAGATCAGGCAGGAGTAGTGAGAGATTGACTGTCACAACATAAGAATTTAGCTGAGGTTAGAATGATTGATCCCACCCACGAAGATAAGTAATTCAGAAGAAATACCTCAGCGCTACATTACACTGGATGCATTAACACACAAGCACACACAATGGGGTGAGTGGGACAGAGTCGAAATTCTAAAAAGTGATAAACGTAGATGGAGAGAGAGATTAATTACTAAATCCTGGTTCATCGAGTTTGCTCACCCAACATAATACATGCAACAGAAGTGACTCATCATCATCGCTAGCTAATACCGAAGATATGGAAGATATTGTTACCACCAGTCAGTCAGTCAGCCAGTCAATCAAATCAGAGCAGGATAATAAAAAATCTTAAAATGTATTCTATTTCAATTCACGTACATTATAACATGCTGTCTGTGAATTCAAATACATCCTTCACACTATATTTCACCATTTGTTTTTAATAGAATAAATCACCAATCATCTAGAGGTAAAGCAAGGTAGGGCCGATTTCATATGTGCAGAATCCACCCTAACGGCACTGCTCAGTGCAAGCCGTATAACGCCGGTGTTTGTGTGTGTGTGTGTGCGTTCCCGTGGGTCTGAGTTCGTCGTGTAAACTTCTAGAAAGCATCTTTATTCTTCTTCCCATTACATTTCTTCGATATTTTTTCGTTTATGTGTTTTCTCTTCCCCAGTTTTTGTAATTTAATCATTTCTGTCCAGGAGAACCACACTTCTAAACCTTTATCAGGTCAGGTTTTGTAATCTGAAGGGACTTAAAAGCAAGCCAGCCAGCAGGTAGAAATTTTCTGACGGATCACCACATTGCAAACCTGACTGAGAGAATTCGGGTCTAAGTGGCTTAATGGTATAGGAGCTCGCCTTGTAATCAGAAGACCCTAGGTTCGAATCCCGGTGGGTGCGTACTGATGGAGAGTCCCAAACTAGGATGAAACTGCTGTCCAGTACTCCCAGGTTTTCCAATGGTTCTCTAACTAATGTCAGCTCATGATGAAATCCTGTAACCAATCAATCAAATCCCTACAAACCAACACTTGATAGAATTCAGTCTGCACCAAAGAAAGGATTAGACACATCACACTAGTTACTAACTAGTGTCAGATCAAAGTATTCCTTAGTCGATATGATGGTAGTTGAAATGTTGTAAACAGTCTCTTGTGCCCAATCCTCTGTGTGTGTGTGTTGTAAGGGGATTTACATTTCCTTCTCTCTGTCCTTCGTATTCCTATTTTAGGTCAGCTGATGCTATCTACTATGGGATTGTAAGTCGTCGACCAGGTTTAAGTCGTTTAGCAGCTGCTCAGTATACACAGTTAATGCTCTATGAAGATGCCGACTGTGCTATGCTACGGATGATAGAATGTTTCACTGAATCTGCTCCCCAGCTTTTATTACAATTGTATATTATTTTGACGCAAACTTATCCGATACAGAAATATCAAGGTATATTATATATATGTATATTTTTAAAATTTATAATAATCAGTTTCATCTCTTCCACTTTACTGATAATCATTCTCTTTTCAAGTATTGATATCTTTTGTAGGTATTTTGTTTGATTGACTGGTATGAGGATTCATCATGAGCACTGACATCGGTTGGTTAGAGAACCATTGGAAAATCGGCATGGAGTACTGCCGGACAGACAGTTGTGCCGTCAGCCTAATTTAGGACTCCTCAGTGCAGAAGTTAGAATTCATAGACTGGCTGGTCATTGAATCGGGTCTCAGCGAGTGGCTCCTTAATGGTCTACAAGCTAACTCACCTTGTAATCAGAAGGTGGTCCTAGGTTCGAACCGCAGTCGGGTGGGTGCGTATTTCTGGAGAGCCAGTCCCAAACTAGGCTGACGAAACACCTGGCTGTCCAGTACTCCCAGGTTCTCCAGCCAACCGACGTCAGCTCATAGTGAAATCCTCCAGCCAATCATTCTCTTTGTTGATGTATTCCACTCCTCGTTATTTCTCCCCTTTTCATCCCCATTTTCTTTACTTCTACCGCCATTAACAAGGGAACCGGAATGTTTGTTTATTGGCGAAAATGATTTTTTGTAGACTGAATAGCATTCAATAACCCTTTCTCAATGTTTAACTTTCCCGTATGTGTACTTATAGACACTATTTAGAGTGCAGATTGTGGCACAGTTAAACAATAGCGCCCCAAGGGATGAAAAACGCACGAGTGACGTTAAGCGACAACCAACCATAAAAATAAGTGATTTTTGTACAAAAAATGACGTTTATTCACAAGGAAATGAAAACAAAGGCACATTAAACAGGGTATCTTTCTCTGACATGACTTAAGAATACTTCCCAGTTATAATAAGGAGTATTAGTTGCTTTGTTAGACTAGTTTGTCTACATGTATTCACCGAGGTGACTGAAGGTGAGCTTGTTTTTTTAACCCGTTTATCCCTCTTAACCTGTTTTGCAGTCTTCCTCTAGAAGCCCTTTATTGAATTACTAAGGTTCACAGTAAGAGGATCGACGAATACTTACTGGTAAAATGTGGAGGATAAAACAAATTAAAATAAATAATAATACCAAATCTAAATCTATCCCTAATCGTAATCTTAACCTTAATCATAACCCTCATCCAAACCGTAATCCTAACCCTAACAAGCTATTAACAAATTGTCCAAACAGTACTTAAAAACGTGATCTGGGTGAAATTTGCATCTTAGTTGGTGGTGAATAGCGTTCATATTTGTACTACAATAATAATAATAACAGATGTCGTTAGCCAATGAATGAATGGCCTGCGTTCAAAGTCATTGGAGCGTTCTCAGCTCTAGGACGCTATTGTTTAACTTCCCCGTGATGCTGTTAGACTTTCAGTTTTCTTAGTGAAAAACTGAACACGTAGTGTTCAGTGAAGAAGTCTCTTTTCGGCGGCACCCACTTCATCGCGTGGGTTCGAACCCAGGACCTTCTAGTTATAAGGCGAGTTAGCTGGTAGATCATTAAGCCACTTACAGGGATCCGATTCAGTGACTAGCCAGTCCATGAATTCGGACTTCTACCAGCAATTCACGCATGACATAGCGCGACCACTTCAGTCACAATGTCTTCTTCGATGAGTAACTGTCCTCACGCACCTTGAACCTCCTGTACCCTACTTGTCATTTTTTTTTGTTTAGTGATCTCTTTGGATGTCTTCAGTATCTCTAAACTGTTTTATTCACCTTTCCTGCTCTCTTTCAGTAACTGCACAATTTGTTTCATGTGCCTTTTCATGGTTTTCATTGGCGTGGTCATTAACTTACTATCAATCTGCACTGCGTAGTTCACGAATCGAGAAGGCGAATATGCCATCCAAAGGATTATGCCTATTTGTTCTTTGGAAGGCAGGTGTACTACTCTCAAGATTATTAGCTCTGGGCGTACTTGCTGCTGTGGTTAAAGGATTCTGGTTCACATTAGCCCTTTGTATGCATTGGTTATTCGCTTCAGGCTGGTTAATCACACGGGGGACAACATTCTGTTCATCAAACTCACGAACATGTAGAGAAGTCATCTTCGACTTTGTCTTAGGTGCTGTGTATTGTTTTGATGTTGTGAATATACGTGAGGGCGCTAGTCGTTTATGGTATTTGTCGTGTTATCTAATCATTGGTATTGAAAATATATTGTGTGCTTGTCTTGGGTGGTGGTGGTGGTCGTCGGCGTCGTCGCCGAATTCTTTGATTGATACATACTGGTGGAGTAAACATCTATTCAACAAGAAGCAATCATCCACTTGGATTTCTCTATTCCCTGCTTATACTGTACCGATTATTGTGATATGCAGTTTTTTTATAGGAATTATCATGATGGCCGTCTACTACACTACAGCTCATCCATCAGGAGAGATTCGGGTATGTGAATTGATAAACTATCAGTGTGTTTGTGTTTTCGTAAAAATCCTAAATTCGCTCTTTCTTTCTCTCTCTCTCTCTTTATATATACATATATTTTTTTCCAAGTATTGGTTTTGTAGGGATTTTGTTTGGTTGGTTGGTTGGAGGACTTCATTATGAGTTGACATCGGTTGGTTAGAGGACCGTTGAAAAATCTGCGAGGAGTACTGGACAGCCAGCTGTTTCCTCCATCTTAGTTTGGGACTGGCTCTTCAGCAGTACGCACCCACCCCACTGCCAGAGTTCGAACCCAGGATATTTTGCTTACAAGGCGAGCGAGCTCATAGACCATTAAGCAGCCACCCACTGCCAACCAATCCAATGACCATCCATCTATTCCATCGTTGCCAACTTCTGCCAATTCACGCACGATAAAGCGCAACTGGCACTAGGTAATGTCATCGGTGGCGGCGAGTATTTGTTCTCACACCCGACCAGCTGTACTCTGCTTGCTTCCCACTAGATACCCAGGTATATGCCTGAATGGATCCTGTCGTTGGTGAGCATCAGATCAGTTTTCAAGGATTAGTTTGTAGTGATTTTTTGGCAGGTTGAAGGATTTCATCATGAACTGACATCAGTTACACAACCATTGCAAAACCTGCACTAAGTACTGCTAAACAGCTGTTTCCTCCATCCTAGTTTTTGACTGGCTCTTCAACAGTACGCACCAACCACAAGGGGGTTTGAACCCACCACCTCCTGGTTACAATTTTGTTTATCTAAAGCCCTGTTTGAAATAACTGTTAGGTGAAATACATAAGTCAAAGTAGTAGAACAGGTGCACAGTCAGTCAGACTAGCATGGCATAAAAACCTAGGAACAAAATCTAGATTAGTTGACCCGAATAAGGTAATGAGAAATCTGGAGAATAGTTCAGCCATACCACTCACTACATCCAATTGCACACAACCATACAATATAGGATGATGGGATAAGATGACAGTTTGTTTTAAAATGTAATGTAATAGGGCGGGTGGAGGGAGGGAGGGAGAGATTGATAACGGGAGCTTTGTCTATCGAATCACAACTCCAAACACGTGTATTAGGAATGATTCACCACCTGTCCACGTCGACATCTGGAGAATTCTACTACCACACCTACGACGACAAATAGGAGAGAACAAAGAAAACTATAAAACTCAAGTTTTGAAGTCATTTGTGGTTATAATTGAGGGGAACTAGTTGTTTTAAATCAATGGATATATACATATCTATATATTCATAGAATTTGAGTGGAATTCACAGGGTACAGTGGTTAGAAAGATTATTTCTCTTTCTGAAATATTTCTATCAAATTTACGCTAAATACATCAGTTACGCACCTGTCAGTTTATTATACGCACTCATAACTTATTGAAAGTAAACTGCTAATTGATTCGTTATTATATTTTAATTACCTAGTTATGTATTCCGTGTGATGAACTTATGAGTAATGATACTCGTCAAAATTCATTATCTAATGAAATTCCTGTTCATCCAAGTACTCAATTGGTGTAGATTTTCTCCTTTTTGAATGAGTAAGTTAAAGTTTAGTATGCAAGTATTTTTTTGGTGTGGTTGTTGTTGTTGTTGTTAATGATGTCTCTTTCACACATTTCATTTTATTTATTTCGCTAACAAAAACACCATCTTTTTGATGCAGTTGTTTTCTCTCAGCTGGATAGTTTATTTGCAGGGTCTGTCGTAGCATCCGGGTAGGACTGGTCCATTGAATTTCATTCTCCATTGGTCTTGTTTTATGATCTAACCTGTTTTGGTGGCCTTGTTTAAACTTTTTTGGATGAGGTTGTGTAATGTTTGTATGGGATTTGTTGTGAGCTGTTGATATACATCCTCATCTTCGAGTAGTTCTTCAGCTTTCTTGGTGTGTATTCTTCTCTGTCCATGACTACTGTTGTTCTTCCCTTTGTCAGCTGGTAGAATGATGATGTCCTTCCTATTTTTCAGCTTTTTGACGGCCTTTAGGTCTTGAAAGTTGAGTTGTGTATGTTGTTGTTTTATGTTTGACCATTGGTACGATTGTTTGGTGTATTTCTTCTTGTGTTTTCTCGTTAAAGTTTGATGATTTGAGTAATGATTTAAGGGCAGCGAAGAAATCAGTTTTTGAAGCGTCTTCAGTGTTGCAGTTTAGTCCTTTTTGTAGTAGTTATTGTTCCATTTTTGATAGTGGTTGTTTTGATAGGTAGGTTGAATACGCAGTAATCAATAGATGGTGCATTGTCTGGTTGTTGTTTTCTAATCTTGGCTAGCTTGGTTTTGAGAACTCTCCATCTTTGTTCTCTTTGTCTTCTACTTGACAATGTTATTGTGGTGATCAGCATTTACAGGTGTTCCTAGTTAAGGGTGTAGTTTTCGCTAGTTTTTCTTCATGGGCATCCATTATTTTTTGAGATTTATTGATCCGATAATGTGCATCTGTGATCATTAATTTGACCATACATCTTCTACATTGTTCGGCCAATTTTTATCCTGTTGAGCAGTTGACTGGTGGCTTGCATCTGGCACTGGTTGGTAGGATTTGATGATGGAGGCACTCATGGAGAAAGAATAGTTGTTCTCTGGTGGATCCTTGTATTTTGGCGAAGTCTTCTCACTTTCGAACAGAAAGAAGCGTGTTCCGCTCGTAAGATTTAGATATGATGGAGAAGCTTTGTAGCTCATGTGGACACAACTACATCGAAATCATCCACCTGAGATATAAATCTTCTCTATCATATCTACACTGTCTTTTCAAAAGTGTAGCAGATATGTGGGAGAAACATGATTCCGTATTATCTGACCAAAATTGCACGAGCTGAATAGTGCTGCTAGTTGATCGATTACGGATGACCTTAGGCGTATGGTCACTATATGGCGAAATAGGTATGCTTTAAAAATAGTACAAGAACAAATACAAAATGGAACGAACCCACCGGATTTGTCTACGTATTTTCCAAAGATGAAGTTCGCGGTAGGGCTCATCAGTTTAGAGGCTGTCTGTCTGCTTTCGACATAGAACTTTGCACCGATGTGCGACAGTTCGAGTCGCCACACTCCATCCTTGTAGCACACAAAGCAAGAGAAGAAAGTGGAAGAAATGCATAATAGAGACAGTAAACAGAGGTGTGAGGCAAAGGAATAGTAATAACGAAGAACGATATAGTTTCATCGGAAATCATAAGTCACAAGGAGTGGATGCATCTGCACCATTGAGAACGATTTCGAGCTATATCATCAATTGTTCCCAGCGATTGGCTTTCACCATCCTGAGGACCCCAACCCGGAAGTATACACCTCTCTACGTGACTATCTGGCTTAAACTAACTGTTGTGGATTTCATTGACCGATGAGGCCATGTTTTGATTTGACCACCGCTAGCTCTTTCCCAGCCTGACCCTATGTCAGCTAACATTACCCGTCGAGGAAGGCGGTGACTAGGAATACGTAACACATTTCCTAACCATCTCAGTCGATGTAGCTTCACAGCCTCGTTGATTGATTTCCCCTCCTTACCTAGCACTTGACGCCTAACCTTAATATTGTTCACCTTGTTATACCACTTCACACGGGAGATAGAGCGCAGGCACCTATAATCAAAGACAGCTAATCTCTTCATGTCTTCCACTCTCAGTGGCCAGGTCTCACAGCCATAAAGGAGGACGGAGCGGACTGCTGAGTAGTACACACGTCCTTTGGTCGATAGCCAGCCGGATATCACATCTACGCCAGAGATGGCGTAAACTTGAGGGCATATGCGAAACTAGCCCTCTGTATCCGTACTCAGCTGAGATTTCGTCAGAGATCAACCCGTTGGCACTGGCTGATGGTACTTCCCAAATAAGTGAAGCGGTCAAAGTGCTCTACCACTTCACCCCCTATATCTAAACTAGGAGTCAGTGTAGTCGTGTCCAGTCCTGTACCATCATCTTACATTTGGCGGGAGCGAATTGCATGCCGAACACTCGTTGATTGCAGCTCAATGTGTTCAGAAGACTGCATTTTGTCAGCGTCTGCATATTCTAAGTCAACGAGATTATTCCCTGGTAGCAAGTCAATCCCTGTGTCTCTGAAGTGAGTTATGGCTAAGTCCATCAGTACATCTATGATGAAGTTGAATAGGAATGGGGATAATGGGCATCCCTGACGCACACCACTAGTTGTCACCACTTCAGATAACAACTTGCTGTAAGCCTTCACCTGGTTGATGGCATGAGTTCGAGTAGAGTCATTTAATCAGTGCAATGTATTTTCTCGGCATTCCCTTTACATCCAGGCATCGCCAGAGTACCTATCGGTCGACAGAATTAAAATGCCGCCTTTAGGTCAAGAAATATAACGATTGTTGGACGCCGACGGTAAATATGCCTATGTTTCAGAATCTGTTGAAGGGTGGAGATATGATCAATACACCCTCTTCCTGGTCTAAAGCCTGCCTGGCCCTCTCGTGTTTGTGCCTCCCGAGCACCACTTAGTCTACGCAATATTATTGAGCCTAAGACTTTAGATACTATATTAGTCAAGCTAATCCCTCTATGATTATCATAGGAAGACCCGATGGCACTTTCTCCGATTTTCAGACGCTGACTATTACTTCAGTTAACGCTGAGATTAAACTGTCTCTACCGTACTTAAATACCTCTGGAGTCACTCCATCAGGTCCTGTTGCTTGGCCTCGTTTCAGACTAGTGACAGCTTTAGTAACCTCAGTTAGGGAGGGAGGACCTGTGTCTATATCCCATTCTGGGAGGTGTTGGATGTTCGGCAGGTTGGGTGTGGCTGTGGGCCAATTAAACTGCTCCTCAAAGTGTTCTTTCTAGCGATCCAGTCGTCTATCCTGGGAGCTAATTATGGTGCCATTCTTCTCAGGGATTGTTTCACTTATCATTTGCCTTTTACCACCTGTTTCCCTGATAAGCCTAAATAGTTGTCTGGTGTTACCAGTCGCCGATGCCTTTTCCATCTCTTTCGCTTTTGCCACTCACCACTGTTCACGGTCGTTGCGAAGACATTTTGTCAGTTTTCGTTTGAGTAGCTTTCGCTCCTCATCATAATCGGAGCTAGCCGGAATCAGTCTTCTTGCGTCAATAAGTTCTGATGAGGTAGCAGCGATCCAATGGCTCTCACTAACTTGTGGTTTTAACTTATTAACAGCTTTTACAGCTGTATCTACAGCTAACTGTATGTTGTGCCAGGCTACCTCAGGGGAGGTCCTGTTGTCGACCTCAGACATTCGTTTCACTATTTCTTCCTTAAATAGGGAATAAGTATCTCGGTCTAGTTGGGGACCTAACTGTTTCGCTGCCGTCAATTTCTTATGTCCATTTAGTCGTATGCATAAACGAGCGCGAACCAGAGCGCGATCAGAGTCTACGCACGTGTTCCAGAAGGAGCAACAGTCTTCTACTGACCCTTGCCAACGATACCCTATAGTTATGTGGTCTATCTGAGTCCGGCGTTGATTTGGTGATGGAGGTCACTAGGTTACGCAGTGTCTGCCTTTGTGCCTAAAGTTAGTGCTGACTAGGAACAGATGATTATCTGAACAGAACTGTAGAAGATGATCACCGTTGTCGGTTGGTCGTTAGAGAAATACATACGTACCACCTACATACTTCTCAGTCTGGCACAACTTCCCTACTTGGGCATTGAAGTCGCCTGCTAAAACAACTATATCTGAACGTTTTGCTTTTTACAGCAAATTACAGTTTCAGGTGGAAGTCATCCTTTAGTTCATCCGAACTGCAGTCTGTTGGGGCGTAAGCGGAGACTACGAAAAGACAACGACGGGTAGCGCTATCTTTCCTTCTTTTAACGGACCCATTCAGACGGACCGCACACATACGACTATCTACTGGGATCCAGTCGAGAAGCGATTTTTCCGCCCTAACACTCAGCGCTATCCCTACACCTGTGAGTCCTCGCGAGCTGACTGAGGGGTCTCCTGACATCCCTAAAGTGAATTTTGCAGATTCACCTTGTTGACCGGGTGAGGTTAAATGAATGAACACACTCAGGTCTTGCATGCGTGTCTCCGAAATACAACATACATCCATGGCTCGAGTTGCCAGAGTTCTTGCTATTGACGTCTGTTTTCCGATTTGGCAGAGAGTCCTGACGTTGGATGCTTCTATATTTAGTTGGTGACGTGGCTTTAAAAGGCTATCTGGGGTGTTTCTATGGCTGTCACCGTTGTCGTGGTCACAGAGTGAGGTGAAGATGACTCATTAGCCTGCAGAATAGTACTAACTGTAGTAGAGAAGCAGGATGAGAAAGGTGATGTGAGTGAAGGGGAATGATGCTCAGAAAGGCTTCGTGTGCTTTTGGAAGTGTGTGGATGGTTGTTACTTCCCGGCTGCCCATACCGTGGAAGTTGATTAATTCTTCGGGTGCCTGAAACAGAGAGTGTTGCGTGACTGCAGAGCCCAGGGGACAGCTGTTTGAGGCCGGTCACACGCGGCCTGTTTTTGTTTATACTTTTTTATTTGGTGTATCTCATTAACATATTTGTCACTTCTACC